CACTATTTTCCCTTGATCAACACTGGACCATCTGGGTGGATATCAATTGGGTTCTAAACTCGTGAAACTGAGAAGGAACTTTTAGGTCCTGCAATGTTTGCTTTCTGTCTTTGGATTACCATGACAGATTGTAGCTATGGCATGCTAGACTGTGAGCATGCCAATCCCATTGTGGTCTCCAAAAGTCTCTCATGCAGACCAGTGCTCTGCACTAATTAATTTCAGCTGGGTCTGTATAAATCTGCCACTGTCTGACTTGAAGCCCTTGCATTGCTACGGTGTAACAGTGTATATCCAATAGTTATTTGCACTCTTTCATTGGGTATCCCAACCACCACAGCCACACATCCTGCTCTCTGTTCCTCTCTTTTTCATCCATCTCTGGCTTTTCCAGAATGTTCCTCTCTGAGTCTGGCATGCCAGCAATAATCTTAACGTTCAAATGCACTCAAAAGAGAGAAGAGGGAATGAATCATGCTACTTGGGAGTCGCTTTCCCTGTCCTCCCTAGCTCCCTGTTACACGGACCCCCCTGAATCTGCTGCATTCCTTTCCTTGTCGTCTGCCCGCCTATGGGGGAAAGAAGAGTTAACGCTCTGGAGTAAAACAGGAAAACCACCTCATTGTTCCCAGGGTGACGTCAGGCACACTACAGTAGCTTTTACGCACAGTCAAACACACGTCAAACACACGGAAAAAAAAAAGTCCCACAGCAGTGTACAGGGATGAGCACTCTATTCTTTGACATAACAAAGTATTTTGATAACTTCTCATCCATGTTTGGGGTTTGGGCGACCGTGATTCAGGGGGTTGGGAAGCTCATCTTGTAACCCGAAGGTTGCCGGTTCAATCCCCAGCTCTGTCTGTCCTGGTCATTGGATCCTTGGGCAAGACACTTCACCCTACCGCCTACTGGTGTTGGCCAGAGGGGCCGATGGCCCGATATGGCAGCCTCGCTTCTGTCAGTCTGCCCCAGGGCAGCTGTGGCTACAACTGTAGCTGCCTCCACCAGTGTGTGAATGTGAGAGTGAATGAATAGAGGAATTGTAAAGCGCTTTGAGTGTCTAGAAAGCGCTATATAAATGCAATCCATTATTATTATGTTGGCTTGAAAACTAACATGGAAACACTCATTGGATCCTGTCAAATATTCCAGATCTGTTCTGGAATGTTGTCTTCAAAATCAATAGCAAAACTTTAAATTTCAGCCAGAACCAGTCCTTTAAGTGTTCTGATTACTTCAGTCAGCTGAGGACGATTGAGTCGATTAAGAAACTACAAACCTCATGGTTAGGTCACTTTGCCACATTTAAATTCACACAACTTGGCGGGATTGTAAACTACATTGAACAAAATACTTAATTCTACAGATGATAGATTGACTGGTGCTGTTCTACTCTACCTGAACACTCATTAGTACTTTCTGCCATAAGACTCATTCACCAGTTCTGTGACTTGTTTAACATCCACACTCTTCAACCCTGGAGAACCCATGGGGTCAGAGCCGACCCCATTGGTTTTCTAGGGAAACCATGGGGTCAAATTTGACCCCATGGGTTCTCCAGGGTTAAGGACACTTAAACATGCAGACTGGAGGAGTCAGGAATCAAACCACCAGCCATCAGATTGGTAGATATCCCGCTCTATCGCCTGAGCCAAGGCCAATGTCATCTACAGCCTAATAAGTTACTGGCTTTTTAAAAAAAATATTATTTTCTTGGCATTTCTTGGATAGCAACAGTGATGATAGACAGGAAAGCTGAGAGAGAGAGAGGGTAAGACACGCATCAAGGACTTCTATATACTCTTTACGCTAATGGAGCTAATTCAATCAAACCTATGATAGCACTAGGTTTATACTGATTTTGGTCTATGGGGGGCGACCATGGCTCAGGGGGTTGGGAATCGCATCTGTAACCAGAAGGTCGCCGGTTCGATCCCTGGGCTCTCTGTCCTGGTCGTTGTGTCCTTGGGCAAGACACTTTACCCTACTTGCCTACTGGTGATGGCCAGAGGGGCCGATGGCGCGATATGGCAGCCTCGCTTCTGTCAGTCTGCCCCAGGGCAGCTGTGGCTACAACTGTAGCTTGCCTCCACCAGTGTATGAATGTGAGAGTGAATGAATAGTGGTATTGTAAAGCGCTTTGGGGGCCTTGAAAAGCGCTATATAAATCCAATCCATTATTATTATGTATCGCCATGTGAAAGAGAAAATACACCTTTTTAACTGTAATAAATATAATAAACATTATCTGATCTTTAACAGGTTCTAAAGTGATTTAAAAACAACCTGACACGAACAACATCACCATGCATTACACACGGTTACAAAAACTGAGACAAAATGCATAAGCCATGTGTGAAAACTACACACAACCCACGATTCATCACCTTGTAGAGACACCTGATTCTTTTCTTTTTTTCAGTTATTCTGTTGTACATTTGCTCTTGTGCTTGGGATCATTGTCCTGTTGCATGACCTAATTTCATCCAAGCTTTAGCTGTCAGACAAAAATGGCCTTACATTTGACTGTGAAATACTTCGGTATACAGAGGAGCTGATGGCCAACTCAACAACAAACAGTTGGTATGAGGGGTTTGTATTAATATGCTATGTTTAGTTTTCTTCAAACATAGAGCTCCACATTTTGGCCAAATATCTCCACTTAGGTGTTTTTGTCCAAAGGACGTTGTTCCACAAGATTTGTTCAGATGAAACTTTGCAAACCAAAAACGTGCTGCCATTTTCTTTTTAGACTGAATAGGCTTTCTCTTGCCAACTCTTCAAAACAAGCCATTTTTGTTCAGTCTTTTTCTAACTGAACTTTCACATTTAACATGCTAACAGAAGCCAGTAGAGTCTGAGACGTAGCTCTTTTATTTTCTGTATTGCACAATCTGACTTCGGGCTGAATTTGCTGGGATTTCCACTCCTAGAAAGATTGGCAATGGTGTTGCATGTTTTGAATAATCTTCTTCAGAGTAGATGGACTTCAAATTGTTTGGATTTGGTCTTAAAACCCTTCCTAGACTGACAGACATCAGCAGTTGCTTTTCTAAGATAATTGTCGATGTCTTTCCTCCTAGACATCGTGTAAACACACACCTGAACACTCCAGACCAGTAAGCAAACTGACACACACATGATAAATTTATTAAGTGCTTGATCAGTGCCTGACTGCTGTAGGGGAAGCTACTTGGGAGCACTTTTTCACATACTGTGTCTGCATTTTAGCTTAGCATTTGTTGAATAAAAAAATCAGTGTAATATATAATGTTTTACTATTCATCTGAGGATCTGATGGGGTCACTGGAGGGTAGTGGTAAAATCCCTTCCCTCCCACACTCATCAACCTCCATTTTGCATTGTGTTGGGTACTAATTAGCAAATGCTAACATGCTAATTTAAGATACAGTACAGAGCAAACAGTGCCTGCAAAACATGTTAGTATTTTCATTGTGAGTATGTTAGTGTGCCGATTGTTAGCATTAATCTCAAAGGTTTGCTTAGCTGTAGGCTCGTACAGCTCTTTATCACCAACTATGGCAGCTGTGACTACTTTTTGACACTAGCACCGGTCATTTCATGACTGAGATGCAGTAAAGAAATGATTAGGGACCTGATCCTTTTCAGTAGAAAACCGCTACTAGCATTGTCGCTTATCATTGCTTGGTATATTACATACACAATATGGCCAAAAGTAGTCGTAGTCGTAGTTTCTTCAAGAACCACTTTTGTGAAGTCAGACACTAACTGATAAGAAGGCCTGGCTCACCGCCTCCACTCTAATTCATCCCAAAGGTGTTCTGTCAGGTTGGGGTCAGGACTCTTTGCAGGCCAAATAAGTTCTTCTACACCAAACTCACTCATCCATGTCTTTATGGGTCTTGCTTTGTGCACTGGTGCACACTTATATTAGAATGTGCACACTTATATTAGGGCCCATCCCCAAACTGTTCCTACTAAGTTGGGGGTATGAAATTGTCCAAAATGTTTTGGTATGCTGACGCATTAAGAGTTCCTTTCGTTGGAACAAAGGGGCCAAGCCGGAATCCTGAAAAACAGCCTCACACCACAATCCCCCTCCACCAAACTTTACACTTGGTACAATGACAATGTTAGACAAGTGCTGTTCTCCTGACAACTGCCAAACCCAAACTCATCTATCGGAATACCAGACTGAGAAGCACACGCACTCATGCTTTACACCACTGCAAACAACACTTAATGTTGTGCTTTGCAATATGCGGCTTGGATGCAGCTGCTCGGCCATGGAAACCAATTCCATGAAGCTCTGTATGCACTGTTCTTGAGTTAATCTGATGGCCAATCTGATTTTCTGATGAAATTTGGAGGTCCATGGAATATTTAATACAGAAGAAATTTCACAACTGGATATATAACACGGGTGGTATCCTATCACAGTTCCACACTGGAATTTAGTTAGCTCCTGAGAGCGACCCATGTTTGAAAAAGCACTCTGCTTGCCTAGGTGCTTGATTTAATACATTTGTGGCCATGAAAGTGATTGGAACACCTGAATTCAATGATGGGTGATTACTCAATTTTGGTAATAATGTGTTTTAGTAGTTCTATTAACATAGTAGACCCGTTTTAGACACATATTAGTATTTTTATATATCTAAGCGTGTATTTTTAAGATGTTTTAAGACTTCCTTTTCTAATATGTTACTGTATGACTTTATTGCAGTTATCTAGGCTATAGATCTCCTTAATATTTAATTATTCATATTACTGAATTAAATGTTACTGCTACGTGAATTTCCTTTTAAGACCTTGAGTAAAAACAGAAATTGATCTGAACATGGCAATGACATAACTCCTTCAAACTGCATATTAACACACGTGTGAATTATCCCGGACCGGTATGAAGGTGGAAAAAGTGACACTGATTAAATCCAATACCCGAGCGGTGACATCACTCCCCTCCGTGATGGGGCTGCGTCCGGATTGGACGGAGTTCGCGGCCAATCAGAGAGCACACACATGGGAAGAGTTTTAAAAAGATTCGGAAAAGTGTTGGAAAGTTGTCCAAAAACCTCCGCCAGCAGGTCCGAGCACGACTGGGGCGAATAATAATATTAATAATAAAAAGAAAAGAAAAGGGGGGTAAAAGATACCCGCGGATTTGTTGGGGACTTTCTCTGCGTGCTTTCCCTGCCTTGTTTGGACAGAGAGCTCTAACCTGCTTCTCCATTTTTAAAGCTCCCCCTAGCTCCACTGTAAATAGCCAAAAAAGAAAAGAAAAGAAAAGAAAACCCGACAGAATGACAACACATTTCAGGAGCGGCCCAGCCTTCGGACTCTCCGCCGAGGTCAAGAGTAAGGTATGTTTTCTTTCTTTTTTTTAATATTAGTTATCCAGAGTGTGTTTGGATGCTGTAGGTGAAGCATGGGCTCCTCTGGTGGGGGTCAGAGGTCCACAAAGGGTCAGTAACAGGTTGATCTACCCAGTATAATAGCAAAGTAAACAACAAGCTCTCTGTGATTGCTGTAAATACGCAGTTTTTCCAACGAAACTGTGATACAAAGAAACAGAAGAGAGGGTTTGTGGTGGCTGCTTTTATAGTTAAGCATGTTGAAACAACTCGCAGCAAAAGACGTAGAGATAAATACACCTGCTGTTGGCCTGTGGCTCTGCATCAAACAGTTGGAAAGGAACTCCTACATGTATCTTAACGTTACACCGAGAGGGGGGTGGGGGGGGGAGATATCATCGGTGATGTGATCTCATTCCAGTTTAATTTCAGGTTGTGTGCTTGGGAAAACCGCTGCGGTGACACACTTCTGTCTTTTGGTAAGAGATCACACCGTGAAGGAGGTGATTGTTTTTCGAGCAGAAAACAGGCTTTAGTGGCCAAATGATTCGTGCGATTATGCAGGGTCAGGGTTTTATAGTGTGCTGGAGTGAAGCACGTGGTGGAGGGAGTGCTCTGTTATTGTTGTTTGGCTGATCTCCCCTCAGAGAAATCAAAAAGTGACTGAAACATGGAAGAAGGTGATCTTACAAAGGCTGAGCTTGAAGCTGCACTGTGCAGTGAGAAAGGGGGTTGAACAGAGAAATTAGATGAAAACTACACACACGCCAACATTAAAAACTTAGTGTATCATTAGTGAGTGTGCACCCCTCACTAATTATACTACATTAAAATTCACATCCTCCACCTTTTATGAACCTTTTCCTAGACGTAAATGGATGTGCATGTGAGAGAGCAAACTGGAAAGCAGTTCCATATAATTACATATGACACAAGTTTAACAGGAAGTATTACATTCAGTAAGCTTTGAAAGATTGTAATGATTAGGTCAGTGAGAGTATTAATTTTGGGATGTGGAATATTGTTGCTAATATACCAAATACAATATAATATATATATCACTTTGAAAAATTAATTTCTCACTATTTTGGCAGGGTGGAACGTATCTGTGTTGTGCCATTGCACATTATATTACTGATTTTTTTTTTTCTTTTTTTTAAACTGGCCGGATCACCTGACAAGTGTTGACTCACATTCCACCTTTAAATCAGTTTGTACCTGGGTAAGGATAAACATGCACAATCCTGATTTTCAAGCTTTTTTTTTTTTTTGTGTGTTGTCACCGTTGTGGGGAAGCTAGGCCGTGTTCACTTTGTGAGTGTGAATAAAATTACTGGGATTTTCTGCCTGTGCGGTGACAGCAGTGACTCTGTATGTTTGGATGAGTCACAGCTGCTAACAGCCAGAATGACAAAGGTCAGCCTGTGACTGTTCCAATACCCAGATCATCATCATTATAATCATCATTGCCCTGGCCTCTTCCCTGAATGGTGCCATCTCTCAGCTGTGCTTTAGTCTCATGCAGAGGTGCAGCACACTCTATGAAGCCCGCATTCCTTTCAGCAGTCAGGCTGCTATTTTACCGACACCACAGTGCCATTTCCAAGCCGATCACGTACACGCAGTGAGTGGAAATTGAGAAGTAGGGTCGTGTGTGTGTGTGTGTGTGTGTGTTGGGGGGGATATAAAATTTTTATTTAAGCCTAAGGGCTTAAATGAGAGTAATGGCAGGATGCTGCGTTCCAGCAGCGTGACATCAGAGAGGGGCAGAGATGCAGCAGAAAGACTGACAGGTACATGATCATCATCTAATGGCCTTTTATGGAGTGACTGGGCTCTGACTTGGAACGTGAGAAAGTGTGCTCACTCTAAACAGTTTACATCCAAGTCAAGAATGACAAAACACTGTCCTGATAGAACACAGGTGGACAGGAGACAGATAGGTGATAGATAGCAAAGACAAGGCCATGCCAGTAGTTCACACAGTGAATCCAAGGAGACTCGATGCAAACAAATAAATGAGGGAGGGGCGGAAATCCACATATCAGGCACTAACAGCTTAACTCGCGTATTTACACCAGCGGTTACAGCAAATAGTCTGTGATAGTGTAGCAAAGCTCTGGAGCCATTCTTGTGAGCCTGTTTAATTTTCTCTGTCACAGTCCACTGCTCGGGTCAGTACACCCAGAGTTTAGCTGCAGCAGCCCTACTTGGTTCGAACTGACCGTTAGCTTATGGTGACAAATGCTGGCAGTTTTTCCTCCTGCAAACTGCTGTGTAGGTGACGTGTGTGGCATGGCTGCTTCAGCTTACTGGCACTTCGTAGCTCTTTCCTATTGTTACACTGGTTTTTGAACTCACCACTATACAGTGCAGGGCAGTCCACATTTTTCTTTTTTTCTTTTTTTTCTTTTTTTTTTTTATGTGTTTTCTTAATAAATCCATGCTGTAGCCGCACAGTATGACTCCTTAAATAAAATTGGCTATAAGCTCTAAGATTATTGAATATATATTTATTTGAAGTACAAAACATCTGAAGAAAACACCAAATTAGCAGAAAATTCACTCATAAAACGAAGTGATAAATCTCAAACATGCAATACATCAATGGAGATGAAGCCAGCAATTGCTAAACCTCTTGGTCTTATTGATCCCTGTGAAAATGTTGGGGTTACTGGGGGCTTTTTCTTATTTTCCCTTTTAAGTTTATTGTTCAAAAATCTAAATTATTATAACTATAAAAGAATTAGAGCTATTGCTTTATTTCTTCTCATTTATTAATCATCCTACAATGTCTTGTTAATCCTTTATTTCGATTTTCAGGAAAGGGCCAACCCATCGTTTTAGAATCAATATACTGTAGTATTTGCCTAACTGTATATAAAGCAGACAAACATGGGCTCCACCTCAGTTATCTGCAAAACTGACTTTATATATTGATTCTGGGTGTCCCCTCAGGGATGATGATTTATTATTAAGAGTTTTTTTTTTTTTCCGAGTAATTCATTTGACTTTTCACGTGACATCCTGACACACTTTGCTGACAATCTTGTACTGGTTGTACTGGTTTTTTAGCTTCACATGCCACTATTTAACCCTTTAAAAAGAGCCGACCACCATTAATCAAATAAAAAGTTCTATTCATAAGAAATGAAATGCACCAAACTGGAGTTCAGTGCAGTCAGAAGATTTACTGCCACAGCCTTACTTGGTCTGGTATGATCAGCCACACGTGGAGCTACTTTTAGCTAATGCTGGCTAAGCTAAGACAGCTAGCATAATGTTCTGATAGCTTTTGCTATGATCTTACAGTTACTGATTCTTTTTATTTATTTATTTATTTATTTATTTATTGTAACTACCACTCATGGTGGAATTACAAGTGTTACATGCTCTCGATAACATCTGTCAGTATACAGTCAGATCATTTTTTGTTCTGTTTGCCTTTTCTCTCTGTGTTTCATGCCTAAAATAGTTTTTATTGTGGCAGTGGTGTTCGGCAATCAAAAGACAAAGCACAATTAAATCAACCCCCCCCCCGACTGGCAGGGGGACCTGTTGACTTGGTGTGCCTTTATCGGACATTGGGTGTCTAAATAGTCAACTCGCTGTAAAAGGGCAGATTCTGGAAAACCCAAAGGGAGACAAGAAGGAGAGAGATTGTGAGGGAGAAATATGAGCGCAGCCAATCGAATACACAGAGCGAGACAGGCAGAGGGAGAGGGAGGAGTGTTTAGGAAAAGCTGTTTCTCCCAAGTTTGGTGTGATGGACTGGAGTCCACGCTATCCCCTGCTGCTTTGAAATACTTGTTTGTGTTGGCTGCTGATCCCAGACTGTGAAGACTTATCTGCAGAACATTCAGGAA